AACGCACCGTTCCACCCACACACGTTTCCCCCCCCCCCCCCCCCCCCCCCCCCTCCGTCATCTTCCCGGAATCCCAGCAAGGATATGGAAGTTGACAGCGCCGAGCCACCAGCAGCACCAGCAGCACCAGCGGCGAAGGCGGCGGCACCCGCGGAGGGGGAGGACGAGGAGCTAAGCGACGATCTCAAGGCCGCGTTGGCGATGTCGATGCAGGCGGAGGACGCGGGTGTGGAGGGGGCCGCCGGACCGGGACTCCCGGCGGACTTCAAGGGTACCTACGAGCTCTTCGCCGTGGTGACCCACAAGGGCAGGGAGGCGGACGGAGGTGAGGGAGGGGGAACAAGTTGTCGTGTCGTGTCGTCTGTGGCATGCATTGTGGTGTGTCGGAAGCCGGAGAATTGTAGGGGTGAGTGTGAGACGCTGGCATGTCAGCGAAGCAGGTAAGGCTGACGTCAGAGGCTGGTCGTGGTTGGTGCCTGTAGGGGGTTCCATGGAAAAGGTCAAACGCCACCCACTCCAAGATTCGGAAGCCGAAAGCTGTGCTTGTGTCGAGAATGAGAGGGACCAGGTTGGCTACACTGCGGTTCTCGTGTGCTGAGTTTTTTGTCTTGTTTCATCACACACCCATGCGACTCACTCACTCACTCACTCACGTGCCCGCTCTTCAACTGTTATCACGTGTGTCTTTGCGCCGCTGGTAGTGTCTTCAAACGTGTATAGTATATGTGTTTTTAGTTTTGGCGTCTAACGTCGACTACGCTGACCGCCTGGCCAATGAAAATATGTCAATCGGCTATCAACCGTTTGCGTGTGTCTAATTTGCATCGACGGCGCTCATCGACGATGAATCGAAGACACCACCCGTATTTCATAAGTACAACCGGGTTAACAAAACGCGTGCGTGCGCGTGGGCGTGTATCTTGGGGGGCAGGTCACTACATGGGGTGGGTGCGACAAGAGGGAGACGACTGGCTGGTCTTCGACGACTCGGACGTGTCCCCCTGCAAGACGGAGGACATCATGAACCTCAAGGGCGGCGGCGACTGGCACATGGCGTACCTCACCTTCTACCGCTTCAAGGAGTAGTGGCGTAGTATACAGGTAGAAGAACCGCAACGGGGGTTGGCCAGGCGAGATCTCGCGGGAAGCAGCCGGGAAGAAAAGGCCGCATGCCGTGGTATGGTATGTTTTCTTCATAGCTGGGTAAAGTCTGGCTCTTGGCCTCCTCCTGCGGGAAGCAATAGGCAAGGGAGAGGGAGAGTTACCGGCTGGAGACAGAGGTAACCGCAGGGGTTGAGATCCCGCGTGCACCTTGAAGCGCTAGAAGAGAGAGGGGGTAGGAGGGCAGTCCAGGTAGACGGAAGATTTTCCCGTTTCCCGTCTCTTTTCGTTCGTCGTGCATGACGCAACAGTGAGAGTGGGGGGTGTTACAGCAGTCAGTGTGGTACGATGGAAGCACGTGCCAGGCCACTGGGTCGCATTCAGGGACAGGGTTGCCGTGTACACCCTTGCGCATGATGTGCGGGGAGATTTCACCGAATGGAAGGCCTACTGTATGTAGCTGTTGGTGCGCGCTGCCTGCGCCCAAGACTTTTTCGTGACTTGCGTCGAAGTTTGAGGGTGTGCAGAACACCTAGAGGAGTTGGTGTTCGCAAGACGTCGCCCTGGTAAGTGTTTCCTACCTGCTGTTGCGCCGGCGGAATTTGATCGGATTTGTTCGGAAAACCTCAGGCTGAAGGAGAGGGTGCTACCCCCATCCGTCGCATAGTGCAATCGAAACGAGGGGGGGGGGGGTAGGGGACTGACCTGATCCTGCGGTAAAAGACACCGCAGCAGTGAATGCCTCTCTGCTTCGTGAAACGTCGTGTCGATTTGGGGTCGGATTTGCACACCTGCGGCGTGGTTGATTTCGTTCCCCGTATCCAATGGTGCGGCATTACTATTCATGTCGTAACTCCAGTGCCGTGAATTAAGCGCAACACCAGAGGAACACGCTTCCTTGGACAGGAAACCTGCCTACTGCCTACCCACCACATGGTACATAGGCCTCGTAAAACAACAAGCGAGGGGTTGTTGTCCCGTTGCTGCCGAGAACTTTGTACGAGATGCACGTCGACGAATCGTGCACAAGCCCGTGCCATTTTCCAGCAAGCTCACTGACCTTACGAGCTTATTTCTAGGCATCTTGCGTGGGGTTGGGGGACGTTTGCCATCGCAAGGGCGAAAGAGGACACAACGAGCAGCGGGATGGCACTTTCACAACATTGGGCACGCAAAACACAAGATTCCGGCGGGGTTCGTGGCTTGTCGGCATAGAACGTTCACCAACTTATCTTTGCTGTTGTAGCGTCTACAGCTAGAATAAGCAGTAGTCTTGATCTAGACTTAGCACGTGCTTTCAGTTCGGCCCTATCACCTATAGACCCAAACACGCACTCTCGTACCCAACCCCTTCCCATACCCACCAAGCACAACACGACGCGTCCCCTTGTTGAGAGTGGTCAAGTGGTGGCTGCAAAAAAAGTCGTCTCACACTCATATCTGTACGACGCGCCGCGCTACGCCCCCCCCTCCGGTTATCCTCCGTCTCCCCCATGCATATTCCGGACAGCGTACATTGCACCGAGCGGCCGCAACAACTGGCCCTGGAGAAGGATATTGCTTGCGCGGTAGACACCTCCGACGTAAAAAAATACCATAGACGTAAAAAAAAAACATACAACAGCGCCTGCGGGAACTCATGCACCCGAACACGCACGGTCCGCCCCGATGGAAATAAAAAAGAAAAAAAGTCGCACCGACAAGCACCATCATCGCTGCGATACAGCAACGTTTCCTGCTATGGGTGTATCTATTCGAGGAGAAGAACAGCAGCAAGCACAGCAGCGATGCTCGAGCAATCCACATAAACGTCGAGACTATTCATGTATCCAACATGAAAAAAAATCACACCCACAGCAGCGGTGCTCCCCCAACTTGTTGCTGTTGCCGGTGGATGGGTAATATGCTACTCTACCCTTGACGGACACTACGAAGGATGATGGTGATGCGTTTCAGGAGCTCGACACAACCCCCACGCCGCGTTCGATTGCAGCTCCTACACTCCTCACACGCATCACGTCATAAAACATACAGCGATGCGCTCGGTCAGTTTGTGGCATCGAATGGCACGCAAGGCTGGGGACACTGCAACAAAAACCATGAAATCTCCGCAAGGAGTGTTCACGTGGTGGTGCTGCTGTTGACAAGAGGAACGTAAACGACGGACATGAGGCCTTCGGTAGCGAAGCTTTCGGAGACCGGCCCGGTATCCTTGACACGGTCCACCTGCGGGTTGCCCCCGACGACCAAAACATTTCCCCACGCGGTGCAATCGACCATGCAGCAGGGAACGGTGGAGGGCGGCGTTTTGATGCCAAAGTCAATCGTCGAGGAAGACGGGTGGGGGGGAGGGAGGTTGCTGTCATGAATGGCGATTGATGTGTGATTGAATATTGATCCTCGCACTCCAATAAAGCCAGGACAGAGAGAGTTGAACCTTGGCAAGTGAGAGAGAAGAGGGGGTTACTTACGTTAAACGCATGCCGTAGTCGTTAGACCGTTGACCTCGCATCCCTACAATGTCGGGACGGGTCGATATGCCGGGTTTCCGCCGGCCTAGTCCAGAGAACGGGCAACACAAGAACACATTTTCACACCACCGCAGTAAAGGCCACAAGTGACAACCGCAATCACAACAACAGCAACGACGATGACGACGACCACCTATTTGTGTTTACCTGCACGAGCATCTGCGTCTCCGACGGGGGCCCGACCGGCACAACCATGCGGCCCCCGACCTTTAGCTGAGCGACGAGGTCCATGGGGATGCTCTCCGCCGCCGCTCCGACGTGAATCGCGTCGTACGGACCGTTCTCGGGCCACCCTCTCCATCCGTCCGCGGTCTTGTTAGCGTCGTCGTCGTTGTCGTTGTCGTTGTCGTTGTTGGTGTTGCACGCGGCGGGAGGACGGTCGGGAAGACCGGAAAAGGGCAACAACAGTAGTCAAACGAATGTCGCTGACACAGGTGACACCTACATAGCTGCTCCAACCCCGGAAGTGTGTTCCCAGCCATCGCCCCCCGTCAAAATGAGGCGCTTGGAGGACGACATGGCTGATCGCTTTTCGCGGGCTACAGCGACAACCGACAACGGGGAGCGCTCCAAAAGATAGTACGTGTGGAGTTCGTGAGGCATTGGTCGATGGTTTGGTTGGCGAAAGAAGCACGCGGAGCCATGTTGGCCCTTAAGTATCTACCGGTAGTTTTAGCTACGGTTGTCTCTCTTTCCTGAAAATGAAACTTTCGCAATCTTGGACCGAGAGTTGGCCAAAATGGTGTACGCTTCTGGCCAGTTCGACTCTCTCTTTCTCTGGAGACTGTTTTCGGGGCGACATTTTCATCCACAAGCAGTGAAACAGGCTCCTGTTGGGCTATCCTAAATACTGGCCAAGACCAAGGTTTCGGACAATCACAGCAGTGTGCATCGTCACAAAAACTTTAAAACCTAGCAGCAGCGGGTGCACAAGCGGCCGTATCACAACAGAGCCAGCGGCCACACCGCGTGACAACACTAGTCCAACGCAACCCTTGCCCACAATCCCACCCAGCTCGCTGCTGTTTCGCCCTGCATGCTCCCCAAGTCTTGAGAAGGTCACCTTCAAGACGACTCTCCCTGAGGATAGCATGGTGCTGTCGTCCTTGTCGAGGTTTGTTCTGGACAGTTCCACCAGTTGCTGGATGTAGTCCTTTATCGCACCCACAAAAAAAGGTGTACAGAGAGGAGAGGGGGGGGCGGGATATGGACGGGGGGTTGGGGGCCGACCAAACTTAAGGTTCCCTGAGATGTCGAACGAGAACCTATGTAGGGGCTCATCATCGTGCACGTTCGAGAGAGTCTGGCCATCGGCTCTCTTCGCGCTCCATTGTACCTGCTGTGAGTTTGACTTCGTACAAACCAAGTCGAGTCGATCTCCGATCTGTAGCTTAAACGATCAAAAACGTTTGCTCCGGAGCACACACTTATGTTGCACACCGTGCGGGTGCCACGGGGCGGCATTCGTCGCGCGCGTGTCTCCTAGTAGCAGGAGAAAGAGGCTGCTGCCATCCGGCCGGGGTTCGACCCCTAGGCTTGAATAGTGTACAACTAGGCTTCTTCAGTTCTCTCTAAAAATGTGGTTGACAATACTTGGGGCTTGACCGAATCAAACACACGCTACATAGCTGTGCGGTTCCGCCACCTGCAGTCGACCCTATTATCATCAAGCATCAGTCCTAAAGAGCGCAAAATCAAGCCAATCTCCGAGGATCAGAAAAAAAAAGAAGCGCCACAACGGGGACACCCCACGCAAAACTAACACGCAGCACCCCACCGAGAGGGCTGTTACGCTGTCTCACCAGTCCGTACACCACCCCACCCGCTCCAACCATCCTAGACAAGGCTGCCGCGAGGTACCCGGAGCCGACGCCAACGTCGAGCACCCGACCCCCGTCCATCGGTATGGCCGGCGAGAGCACCTCCAGCGCGTGGGCGTGCATGTGCGGCGCGCTGATGGTGGCCCGGAAGCCGATCGGCTGAGGCCTGCGCCGACGGAAAAACGAACGTATCAAGCAAGGTGGTAGCAATCAATTAGAGGGCGGTGGATGCATTGGTTCTTTGTGTGTAGGCGTCAAAAGCAAAGAAACAAGGGCACACACCCGTTCGAAACGGAAATACCACCGTTTGAGCACATCAACTCAAGCGCCATCATCCCGCGCTATAGCCACGCCAGGGACACGTCTAATGTGGTTCGGAAGGATGGAGAGTCACATCGTATTCACGACCCACAAGCCCCTAGCCCATCCTTAATCTCCTTCGCCCCACCCTCTTGCCTGTCCTCGTAGGCATCTTGAGGGGTGTAGAAGCCTCGATCGGTGGTCTCCATGGCCTTGACCACCCTCGCCGAGCGCACGAGGCTAGAGTCTGTCGTCGTTGTCCAACACGAAACGGCAACAGGAACCGCACAGCAAGTGTATTTCATGTTACACACGCTTCCTGACAAACAGCGCCGGCGCGCCAGGGCGTCTCAGGGTTGCACATAGCTTGTGCCATGACAAGCTGGACTGTGGAAATATAGAGAATTGCTGCTGTACAGCGGCATGTCTGTTCTTGTCTGGGTGGTGGGTGTACCTCATTATCAACCCCCCGTGGGCGCATGTCGTCTGCCCTTAGTAGAGTAAGTCAGCGAGTGATTCAGTCGTTTGACATCCTTCGGGAATCGGGGTAACACAACACGGTACCATATTACAAAACACCATCACTTGCTTTTGGGCTCTCTCTCTCTCCCGCCCCCCCCCCCCCCCCCCTTTCTCTCTCTCCCTCTCTCTCTCTCTCTCTCTCTCTCTCTCTCTCTCTCTCTCTCTCTCTCTCTCTCTCTCTCTCTCTCTCTCTCTCTCTCTCTTTCTCTCTCTCACCGACGAGGTTCTTGACGAGCTCCGCGTTCGTGTTCCCCGAGCATCGCCACGCGCCTGACGACGAGAACCGCGTCAGCGCGCACGCGCACAAGATAGGGAAAGCCTTCGGGTTCAAACAAGTTGACACGATGTGGCTGAGACTCGTGTGTCATTCGTTGGTCCTGCTTGTGATGTACGAACGAGCAAACGGCGCGGACTCTGGCCCCAGTGAAGATAAGAGCAAACAACCGCAGCGCTAAGAACAACACGGCGACGTTCCGAAACGCAAGACCGGTTTACACAATCGATGTATGGATACGGGGTCAACTTGCGTTGCTGCCGCTACCGCTGCATGTCTTACTGGGTGCGCTTTCGACTTTGTGGACATGATCTACACGCGGACCGTCGACAGGTAGTTGCCGAAAGAGGAACAGCGAGGCGCCACAAAACCCCGAAACACGGAGCACACCCCGAAACGTGGGATTTGTCAATGCTGCCTAAACACCCAAAAAACACACAACACCTAGACTACGGTTACACGAGCGCGCGTGTGTGCGAAACACGCCACCCTTACCCAGCATAGTTGCTGGTCTGCTGCTGATGCCGCCGCCGGCGTCGCCCTTCTTCCGGTGCAAACCTAGCCCGTTCGCCGCAGGGGTAAACACGTTAACGCTGCTGGTTTGATGTTCCCCGCGAGTCCTGCTGGTCGGTGATAACGCGAGGGTTGTCGACGCCTCGTGCAGCTGCTCCGCCGCCGCCGCACGTGCACGCCGCCGACGGAGAAAAGACGTCACGGGGGGGTCGCAGGAGGAGAAAGCCAGAGCAAAGAAGGTTGCTGCGGGTGTGTGTATCATGTGCGAATGTACTCTCCAGATCATACCGCCCAGTTGGGAGAAGACTTAAGCACTCTGCATGAAGTCCCACGGGAACGGAATGGAGCTGGTGTAGATGCACTGGTGCGTACTTTGGTTGCAAAGTCGGTTGCCTACATGTGGACGAAAATAGATCTGGGTGACACGCACGGAGTTTTCCTCCTGCTCTGTGTGTGCCAAAATGCGACTGCCACGACCAAGGTCTCAAAAAAACAGGAATGGCCACTTCCAGCAAACTGAAAGACGCAAGACAGGACTACGGAGTACACCGTACGGCTTTGCAGCAGAGTATGGCCGTTTGTAGGCAGGCAGCAAACATATCGTGCTGTACAGCGGTATACCTAGGTGATGTGAGACACCATCCCCTTGACCGGTTTGCAAAGCTCGATTGCTCCACACCAGATCAATCAAAAGTGGTGGTGCCGAAAATGGCGACGTTGAAACCATCTGATCGGGGACTTTCTGACAACACATCATAGAAAACGACATCCTCCTCTTCGCCGCGGAGTACAGCAGTGCATTGTAGTCTAAATAGCGTTTCAAAATCGGTCCAGGGCGGTGTGATATCTTCACATAGATGTACAGTCCCAACATCGGCCAAACAACATGGAGAACTTCAACCTTGCAGAACACCCAAATTGCTGTGAGGTGGGTGCCGGCTCTGATCATTGCATCACCTTACCCATCCCATGTACTAATGTGTATATACCACCCACGTCGTTGCACTCACCGGGCGCAGGGCAGTGCAGTGAGTCAAAGATTGCTGCTGATGGGACGATGGGCAATGGGGGCTGATGAAAGCGTTTGTCCAGAGTAAGCGCAGCGCAAGCAGGAACACGATATGAACTGCGAGATTTCCGGTCTTCATGAAGCCATGGGGCGTGCGGCACCGTCGTCAACACAGCGTAGAGAGATGGAGAGAGAGAGAGAGCGGGGTAAGAGGACAGAGGGGAGAGCACGAGAGCACGCAAGAGGCTGGGGAGCGAGCAGCGAGCAGCGAGCTGCCGCTGTGGTTCGGAAAGAAGACTGAACCGAAACGCCTCCTGCAAAAAACAAAATGAAACGGTCGATTCTGCCGCCGAGTGTTCAGCAGTCGTCCAGCGTCCAGCATCAGGTTGTCCCTCGACCCTCGACCCTCTCTCTGGCAAGACTTCAACATCCCTGCCTCAGACGGGGTACTCTCTCGAACGAGCAGTCTTGTTTTGATGTGCACTGGTATTTTTGTGCGTAAAAACTACGTATGCACGACCGTCGTTGCTGCCTGTGTAACGCACGCTCACGGGTGAGACGGCTGAAGATGAAATGAAATAACATCTTCGGAGAGACAGTGTGGGGTAACTGCTGTTGTTGGGTTCTCTTCGCGGCGCTCACACGGACGGTTTCTCTTTCAGTCGAACTGCGGCAGTGAAAACCACAGCAGAATCAGTCTGTGGGATAAGCATGCATAGCACACGGACCTACATAGACTACACAGTAAATGCTGCAATTGAAAAGTCTTCTTCACGGATAAAGTTGGCAGGCTCTTCATCTGCAAGCGACGCAGCTGCACCCACCGTACGTCAAAAAGGATTTGAGGCCCCACGCCGACACGCCATTTTTTCGGACGAATTATCGAATGGCTCCACACCCAACAAGCCATAGATGCGTCTATTAGTCGGTGCCCGCCACACGGACTCGGCATTCTCTAGATTCCGTTTTGACCGCTGATACGTGATGTTGTTGACGACTCAAGAAGGCACCCAGACCGACGAGGGCCCTGTCAACTTCCTGCTGAACATGATTAACATCAAACGAGCCTCAAGCCTCATCTAACTTCTTCCAAAACCCTACTGCACAAAGCAGCAGGGAAACAAGAAAACTGCAAGGCACCTCCTTGTCTCCCGCGGCGCATGGACTGGCAAAATATTCCAATCAGCACTACTGGTTGTAGGCGCTCGGTTTACCCCCAACTTTGCCCCAACAACAAAATTTTTGTGGCAATTCATGCAGTACCCCACGAACGTGCAACTTTTACAAGGAACAGCACGCCGGACACCAAACCTCCGAATATCAATAAATCGATCACAAGCCCAAGAAATCACCATGCCACTACAAACCAGCCAACCAGTAGGAAGGACCGACGGAAAACACTAATCTGTTTCCTTGTCACATGCAGGTTGATATTCTATATCGCAGAGCTCATTTCTTGGACGCAGCGAAAACGGCACAGAAGTCCTCGTCGCCGTGCTCCGGCCGCGCGCGCTTGAACTGCTCGTTGGCAGCCGACGCCACCGGAAGAGGCAGTCCCAAGCAGTCTCCCAAAGCCTGAGAAGACAACAACAACAACAAAGAGAAGAAGGAAAGAGGCCCCGAACCATGAGAGCGAATTGGCATTGTGCTGACGATGCCTTCGCCGGTGGGGGGTTCGTTTTATGTAATTGTGGGGTGGGGTAACCGGCTGGGACCGGGGCCACGAGACCAGACAGCAAAAAAAATATAACATAGGAGATCAAGAGTCACAACCAAGGTAAACTCAATACGTGTGGACTTTAAGGCCGAGACGGGGGTGTGCCTGACAAGGAGCTGCCCCCGTTGTAGAGAGGATCGTGCTTGAGGGTTGGACGTTTGATAGTCCTCGAAAAATCAAGCGATCAAAATAGACGTTACTCATTCTGATTCGTTTTCATCGTTGTTTTTCCGAAATCGGTCCCGGCAACAACAAAAGCGAAAAGCTCTAGCGCAGTTGCCGCATACAGAGAAACCAGACAAAAAATACGGAATGCGCGTTGATTGGCAGTTCACGCCTGGTGACTTCGGCCTTGACCGCAGCATTTATCCTGGCCCACTTGCCATGCGCAAACCCTTCTGGGATTGGCAACAATAGGCTGCCTTCAGCTCGAAAAATCTTACTCCCCGGCGTAGCTCGAGGAGGATGCTTCATTTCACTACTCCAACACCGGCGCCGCTGTTCTTCCTCACCACGGCGAAGCGCATGTCCTTTTGTGCGTGCTTGAGCGGGAAGGCCGGGTCGAACTTTCCATCGAGGATGAACTGGCCCTGAGGGAGGAGGAAGAAGGGGGGGAGGGGAGACGAGAGAAGGGGCGACAACATCAAAAGCATGGCGGTGGCCGACAAAATAAACGCAACCAAACAACACGACGGAGAGGGGCGACGACGTCCATCGTGACGATGGTCGATAAATAAATAACATAACCAAATGACACAAAGAGTTCAACCGTAGGGATGGGGGGGGGTAGGTCGCCTTCTGAGCGGACCCTTCAGGGCGAGGGAGGACAAACGCAGAGCACCAACAACCGATGAGACGCGAAAAGCTTACACAACTTTAGGGAACGTCTAAAAAACACAGCAAGCAACGAAGCGGCGCCAGGGTGGTGTACATCAGAGGTGCAATTCTCGCGGTGGACGTTCACATGTTTCGAAGTACCGCATGTCGATCAATCTGACGGAGCGATTGTACATCCTCTTGCACCATGGGGGGAACTGCAGCCAACACACCCTCTTGTCTCCAGCCACATTCAACGAACAGCAGTTACGCCACACGCCGTACTTCAGGAGTTCGAGCTCCCGACGTCTCTATGTAGTAAAAAGAAAAAAACTATAGACAAACGTGCGAAAAACCTGTAGACCAAACATGCAAATGCCTGGTAAATACATAAATAAAATTCACACGACTCTTTTCGTTACTTCGCACCAACCACGACAGGATTGAGTGCAGTGGGGGTCCCAGACGAAGGCATTGGCGGGGTAGCTGATAATAACCGCTTAACATGGGGCAGCCGCTCTTATTCAATGTGAATAACTTGATTGTTACAACTATACCAGCCATTTTCACCCGCCATATACATAGGACGACCGCCGTCTTCAGAACGCCTTTTATTCGTCGGTATGCATACCTTCATTCTGAACATTGGGTTGGACATCGCCCCTTGGTCCAGCACCGTCAGAAGCTTGTCTGCCGGAAGGTCCGCCGCCTGGGCAAGCGCGATCCCCTCCGTCTGACACGAAAGACGACCGCGGAAGGAGACAGGACAAGTAGGAGAATAAGGTGGGGGGGGGGGAGGGGGTACTCGTGTTTTGCATGCCTTAGCAGTTAGACCACTGGCCACGCGTCCTCCGGAGGACCGGGGGGGGGGAGGAGAACTAATTTTACTGCTCGTCGTCGTCGTGAGGGTCACCTTACAGCTTACCAGGCACTAGTGCTTGATGCGAGGTGCCATTCCTACTCCTGCGTCAGAGACGACCAACGTCTCAGCCCTTTGCCTTAGAAAAAACAGAGTGGGTGGGGTGAGACCAGCGAGCGGGAGGTAGGGAGCAAGGGCTGGGGGGACGTACGAGATTGGCGGTAACACTCTAAAAAAAATAACCTGTCCCAAAGATTGCATCCTGGTAACCGTGTCAACGCGGCGATCGCATACGCGAGCTTGCGTCCTCCCAAATCCTAGAGAGCAAACATGGAGATTCTACAAGCCGCCCCCCCTCGCACCATGAAATTTCATCATCATTGACAAGTGTGCTTCAGCGAAGAAACACACCAAAAGCACGGAGAGAACGCACAAGCCACGCTCGCACCCCTACCCTCCACACACCGACAGCCTTCATGGCCACGCACTCTCGACTCACCAAGCTGTTCATCATCGTGCCCATGGTCATGTTCACGACCAGCTTCATCTTGGAGCCCGTACCGACAGCCCCGAGGTAGTGCGCTGCCTTCCCCATCGTGACCCCGTCCCCTTCCATCGATTCCTTTACCCGGTTGAACAGAGCCTCGTCTCCACCGCAGAGGAAAATCAAGGTACCCTGTGCGCGTGTTGTTGGTTTTGGTTTCGTCAAAACATTGGAGGGGGGCGAGGCAAGGACAAGAAGAAAAGGTACGGTACCTGAAGGGACGGAAATGGAAAGGATGGGGGTGGGATGGGATGGGATGGGATGGAATTTCCGGCATGAAAAACGGCGGCAACCGGGAGACTTCAACGCCTGGAGGCTGCCAGGCACAAAAAATAGACACCACACTCGCTTCCTTGCCATGTATGATAGATGTTGAAGAGGGGCGGGACAGAGTTACAGTAAAAACGAGCTTCAAACGTGAAGATGGCAGCATGAAATTGGAACACCGCTCACCCCAGCGGCCTGGCCCTTGCTGCCCGACACGGGAGCCTCGAGGAAAACGCCGCCCTTCGCCTGGACACGCTCCGAGAGGCTCGTCTGATGGCGTAGTCATTTTGCACGATGAAAGGAAAGAACAGGTGGCAGGGGGACCGTTCAAGAAAAGAGACGTGATCGAAAACATACAACAAGACAAAGTACTCACAAAGGCAGCTCGGACGGATCGAATCACGTTTTCGTCCCTCCAAGCAAATCAAAAGAGGGAAACGATCGAAACTGCTGCAACAACAACAACAACAAATCATACGGAGAAGACAGAGGAATACGGAATAATTATGAGGTGGAAGCTTGGTCTTCATCGAACAAGGGCTGTGGTCCATATGTTTCCCGAACGCCAACAACCTAACCCAGGCAACTTGCCCCGAACAACACGCAAAATTTGTACGGCAGAGCCACGCAGAAAACAATTCAAGCGACAATTTCGCATCCGGAAAATGGTGATTTTTTAGGGCAGGACGTAAATAGTCCCTGTCAAGATTTCGAAAGATTTCCAGAGCTTCGGCGAGAAGCTCCAGGGCTTGCTGCACACTACCACAACTGTTGCACCCAAAATCAGAAATCGACCGACAGATGCCGGCGACCGAAGGTTCGATTTCGGGCCAGCCTTAGTCACCAAAACAGCTGAGGTGCAGTGATCAAGACGAAGCACGACCGGTCATGCATCCCCATGATTGAGACTTTCCGTTGTTTCAGCCATGGGGGAAAGGAAAAGGAGTTCGGTTATGACGCCGGCAGACCATTAGCGAGCTCTTCGAACCTTCAACCTTGAGCACGTGGCCACAGCCTTCCTCTCCGTGTGCTGCACT